CTCTGCGGGGAGAGCCCGGGCCCCCTGCTCTTGGCACGACGGGTCGCTTAGCTCGGGCTGGGCGATCGGGAGCTGCTAGGAGCTGCAGCCCAGCGGGAGCCGAGTAACGAGCGCTCGCAGTACCTGGGCTTCGGGCTCCAGAGCCTCCGCACTTGCCCAGCTCAAGGCACGTTTTTCTGGTTTTCTTTCTCTGCATTGCTCGCTGCATCTGAAGCCTTGGCCAAGCTGGGATGCATGCGTCGGTTCAGCTGTGCAATACTGTTCACTAGAACAAAGGCCTGCGATACAGAAAGAAATATAGAAACAGGGAAAAGATTTATATAGGGACGTGATCTAAAACCATATAAAATTGAAGCAGTGTTAAACTACACAAGTAAAACAAAAATAAAAAATTCTATTTTTTCATGTTATTTGAACAAATGTGGATCATGGATATATCTGTTGACTGGCTATACCCCTTTGAACAATTCTGAAAGTATTTGACTTAAGTGGATCATAGTTAAGACTTTGTTCTTCAGTTTACTTTTGTGGTTTTAGTATTCCAAGTAACAGAATAGATTATGTTGTGTAATGGAATGCGGTAGCTCCTTTCCCTGTAGGAGAAAGATGCTGTAGCCATTACAGTGCTGCCCAGTATATTGAAGCACTTGCTATTTGTTTGGGTTTTTTTTATCCCTACTCTGCCACAGACTTCCTCAGTGAAGTTGGGCATGTGAGTCCTGATGCTCTGAAGGGGCCCAATGCCTATTTAAAGATATAATTTTGTCTCCATTTTTCACCTTTAATAAGGAATTGCAGTGTTTTTTTACTTAGAGCAGATGTTTAGGGTAAAAATTAGGATTACCCTGAATATTCACCAGTGGCTGGGGTGGTGGGAGCTTGTTAGATTTTTGAGAGTTCTGCCTTGATTAAATAGCATACATGATTTAACTGCTAGATATAATCAAGTTTAGCTCCTTGATAAACAAAATAACCAGTCTCTGATCTAGTACTTCACCTTTTGAAAGTTAACTTTCAAGCAATAACTACATAGTAACATAGAACTACATCTTGTAGCTGACTTTTATGTCACCACCAAGTAGGATTCATCGTTGTAGATGACTTGCTTGTAGCTAAAGTAAATTATCTAGTGCCACTCTACACTTCAAAAGCTTTGATATGCTTATTAGACATAGTCACCTCTCTTTCCTCACTGCGTAAGCTTTCAGAGCATCAAAGTCAGCCTGCTGGAGAAGATTCATTGTGGCTGCTCGGATCTGAGAGGGTTTGAATGCTGATTCTGTAGCCTAAGTAATGTGAAAATTATGTGAGTTGGTTCCCCTCCCCCCTTTTTTTTTTAAACTCAAATCCCTTACAATAGTATTTCCTCTCTCACTTGTGAAATGTAAAGTCTAGTTGCTTTTGGCTTACTTTTTTGTGACCTAGTTCAGCTGAGCTGAGATCTGAGTGGTACAGCTGTGCTCCTTTAAAAGAACAATTTTTTCTTACTAACTGCCAGGGATTCATGAGTCCATTCCCTTTTACATTCTGCACTTACACAGTTAGCTTGTGATTTAAATTGATTATTCAGTAGTGATAATAAAATCTCTAAACCTATGAATCAAAAAAGAAAGCCCTAACTGAAATGTATATTGCATATCCTCAGTGTGGAGTTTGAAATGCATATGATGCTTAAAGGCTGAAGAGAAGCAGGCTTTCCTAGAGCTGGGCTTTTGGTTTTGTGTGTATTAACGGAGAGGAATGCCTCACAGAGATCATCAAAGGGACCTGTATTATCACAGCTCTCTGTGTGATCTTACATTGCTATTTTCATTTCTCTAGGGTAAATGGACGTATGTGACTTTTCCCCTGACCTAAAGTGGTTCCATGTCTTGTTTGGTAAGTTTGTATTTAAAAGCCTTTGGCACTTGTACCTTGTTACCCAGCCATACCTTAATGTGAAAAAGTTCTGGGGAAATGTCTTACTTGAGGGGATTTCCAGTGCTGGGATGTGTAAACTTTGTTACATCAGCTTTCAGTGAAGGAGATGTTAGTATCTCTTCTCTCTAGGTCTGCTGTGTATGGGCTCTATGATGTTTCTTAACCTTTTGACTGACTTGTAGCAGAAAACGATCTGAACTCCTGCTTAGAGGGGCTACTTCTGATGTTTTTCCACTTCCATGTGCAGTCAATTGCAGTGACTCCACTAACATTCACTGTTTTCCTGTTATCAAGGACTGTTCCTGTATTCTGCGTACACCAGTTGAAGCAATCAGACCAGAAGAGCTATCACAGAGCAGTGCCCATGAGTGCCTGGTAAGAAGGAAACAGAAACATTAACTGGCAATGTTAAATACAAAGCTGCTGCGTGTTAAAAATGATGTCATTAGGATGTACTTCTTAAAATGTTAATAGCAAAGAGTACTTCAGGGCTTCCACTTTGGAAGAAGACTATAGGTAACTGTTAACCTTGTACCTGGTCAAAACCAAAACACACAAACACACACAAAACCAATAGCTCATAGTTTTATGACTTAGGACTATGATTTAGTTTCTAGGTCTCAGTGTAATGGTAAAAGCACAAGCTTGAATGTTAAGGCTTGAGCACTTTTATCTTGGTATTATAATGAATTATATTTCTGCATTAACTTTAAACATGTCCATTTTTTAAAATTACAGTAATTTTGTGTCCATTTTTTCCTCACTGTTAGGCTGATTCTGATCTAGCCTGGATTCCCCCATCTACAGGAAGGAATGAAATGGTATTTTGCTCTTCAAATGTCTCTCACTATGAACTTCAGCTGGAAATAGGTAACTTAAGTGTACCCTAAAATACTTCTTCCTGTAGATGCATGTTCTCAATAAGTTATTGCTAACTGCAGTAAATATTAAGTTTGGAAAATGTATTACGAGCTGACTAGAGCTGTTTCTGTGTCTCCTTAGCTGAGAATACTGCAGAATGTTGCTCATGTTTCAGTAATCACTTAAGATACAAGGCAAATCAGCAATTACCTGATTTTTTTCTCTTGATGTTTGTGCATGTGCATTCCACATTTGTAAATCTGTGGTGTGTGGACAATAAATACATCCTTAGGTAGCATAATGCCTTGTCAGTTGGTTACCCAAGTTGATTGTTCTAAGGATGGCTGCCCTGAATCCTACTGTGCATGCAAGTTTTTGTGAACGTGTACACTGAAAGTGTTGTTCATTTAGATGTATAATTGATACTGACGACTACTTAAGTACTTCTACTTTTTTGAAAAATAGCAGAGCTATGCTTTAACTAATTTGCTGGGTATATTTTGCTGCAACTACTTCAGTTCTTGACATTGTTAAAGAAAAGGTCATGCTACTATCAACTGCAATTCTAAACCCATAAATTCTCTCTAAATATGAAGGAAATGTTGTGGTGGATTGTTGTATTTGCCAATGTTAAGGTGGCCACTTCTGGTTTCAGGAAGGAGGTTCAACAACTTAACTTCAGTCTACCTTGCACGGCATACACCCACAGGCATGCAGGTTGCTGTGAGGATCACAGACCTAGAAAATTGCTCTGAAGAGCATTTGGAAGCCTTACAGGTAAAGCAACAGCATTTCTGCACAAGTCTGATGCACAAGTCAAGCTTTTCCTCCAAAGGAGTAGAATATAAATACAAGACATGTAAATTTGAGAGCTGCTTTCTGAAGAAAACAGTTAACAAGTGTTTTAGAAATATTTCTGTAATTGTACAACTTTTTCTTTGAAACATGTTCTGTACTCCGTATTTAACACCAAAACTTTGGACGGTGAGCAAACTAGATTTACTTCAGAGAAATGCAATTTTAGGCAAGTTATTTACATTTGTATTGCAGACTCTGCACATTACTTTGTACATATGCACACAGGGAACAGTTCTTGTACTGATGCTGATGTAATTAAGTGCTCTTAGTAAGATTGTTGTCTTGTGGTTAACATGTCCACTTTCATTTAATTCCATAGAATGAGGTGATTTTATCCCACTTTTTCCAGCATCCCAACATAATGACACTTTGGACAGTATTTACAGCTGGTAGTTGGCTTTGGGTCATCTCCCCATTCATGGCCTATGGTAAGAACTGTTAACTGCAAACTTGGAATAGGAAAAAGGGCTGATACAATTTGGACCATGGTCCATCAGAGGTTTTTCTTTAAGCATTTCCTGTCTTGTAGAAAAACAATCCTTTCCCAAACCATTTGTTTAGAGAAGTCTTCTATACATAATTTCCACCCACAGTGAAGACTGATATTTGAACCACATTAAATTGTGCTTAGTCCTAATATCCACTATGTAAGGAATATGGGAAACTGGGAGATATAACTGACTTTGTACAACTTTGAATTTTGCCAACAGAAAACTTATCTAGGTTGAATACAGGTTTGGCATAGACTTTCAGTTAACAGAAGCATGACTTGAGTATGATCTTTGCCTGGTGGATGCAGTTGCATCCATGTAACGGTTCTTGACATACCATAGTCAATATAAAGATCAGAATGCCATACTTGATGAATATATACAATGAAGCAAGCACAAACAAGTAATTTTACAAAATTTGTTAGGCTTAGCCAGGTGTTTTTCACTTCCAGGTTCAGCTAGACACTTGCTGAAGACTTACTTTCCAGAAGGAATGAGTGAAGCATTGATAGGGAACATTCTGTTTGGTGCAATCAGAGGACTAAATTACATGCACCAGAATGGCTACATCCACAGGTAGGAGAATGGCAATAGGTAAGAATCAGATTACAGCATCCAGTTTATTAAGAATTTAGTTTCACAAAACTCATCGTCAGCTTGTGTGGTCTCCTATATACCTTCTCATGTCAGACAGAGCAGAAGCATTTTTTTTTTCAGTAATACAGCAGAACCAAGTTTGTAGAAGCTTAACAGGAATTGAATTCATACCTTATTTAAAGCCAGTTGTTACAGGCATTATACATGTGTCTGGATTTGTTGTTTTGAAGCAGAAGAGAATCAGAGTTGTAGAAAGGGCTTTCTTACTTTACACCCTTTGCAGGGAAGGAGGGCCCTTCTCCACTATCTTTCAGATTTTTTCTTGCTGGTCATTTCTTCACTCTCTTGGGGCTGTATTTAAAAGACAACTCATGCTGAGTGAAGGACTTCTGTGAAAATAATCTGGTAAATAGAACTGCTCACTAACATCTCACTATAATTTAAAGAAATACAAAAGCCTTTCTACTCTAGTAGTGCTTTGACTAATTCTTATAACTAAAATTTACCACTTTATGTTACAGGAATATTAAAGCTAGCCACATTCTGATTTCAGGGGATGGGCTGGTTTCTCTCTCTGGCTTAAACAACCTCTACAGTTTAGTCAACAATGGGCAAAAGTCAAAGGTGGTCTATGATTTCCCCCAGTTCAGCACATCGGTGCTTCCTTGGCTGAGTCCTGAGCTACTGAGACAGGTTAGTATAAATTACACTGATTTTTTCCTACTCAAAGTTACTGGAAGTATTCAGCTTCTAGCTTAAGTCTGCTTGTAGAAGTGCAATGGAAGCTGTTAAACTGCAAAAGACATAGGTGTACTAAATTTGTAATTCTCCTAAACTGGTTTTAAAGCTGTTGGTGAGGTGGTGCTGTACTAAATCTCTCTACCTGACCTTCGTGGAAACTAATGCAGATCCTAAAACTTGTCTTCGGTGCAGCCATCATTTCTGAACAATGCCTGGGGCTTCACAATTTAATTGCCTTGATCCCAGGTAGATTAAAGGGTTTTAGAATATTGTGTTGAAACAGACACTTGTATTTTTGTCAGCACTGCTCAGTGGTGTCAGAGATCCAGTACAGTTTTCTTTCTCTCACAGGATTTGTCTGGGTATAACATGAAGTCTGACATTTACAGTGTGGGAATTACAGCATGTGAATTAGCCAATGGACACGTTCCATTTCAAGATATGCCTCGCACTCAGGTATGATGCTTAACTCTATTTCTACTTAAAAACACTGAGCTTTTTTTTTTTTGTTTTACTCTGAGAAACCAATGCTACTACTGCTGAAAAGGTAGCTTTTTATTATTCCGAATATGCATGCTTCTTTCTAGATCAAATAATCCTCCTTTTTGTGGGCTTTCACAGCTTACCCTGCATACGTCTGGATAGCTGTTGAACTCTTACACTGCTATTCCTTCTCACTAGATGCTGCTGCAAAAGCTGAAAGGTCCCACATACTGTCCTTGGGATACAAACACCTTTCCCCGTGGGGAATCCAGGATGAAGAATTCCCGATCAGGTGTTGATTCTGGAATTGGTGAGAGCATGACACGCACAATGACCAGTGAAAGACTGCAAATTCCCTTCTCCAAAACATTTTCACCTGCTTTCCACAACTTGGTAGAACTTTGCTTGCAACAGGACCCTGAGAAAAGGTAACCCACTGAAAACTTCCTTTCTGCCACTTCAGTCTAAGACTAAGTACAGCCCCCAATCTAGGATGCAGTAATTACCTGAATACTGTTAAAGTCCATATTTCAGATCAGAAGTACTATGGGAAACACTATGCTTACCTTTGACATTTTATATTTAAGAACTATCTTGTCTGATAAAGGAACCATACCTTTAAGGTTGTCTGACCTCTGAATTCCTTGTAATATGAATGTACTTTGTAACAAGTAAAATTGATTTTTAAACATGCACGTAGTCCAAGAAGAAAACAGAAATCTGAAGTACATGCTTTCAGTGCTATGTCTCTTCTGAATGAGGCAGAAAAGTGAGAAAGCCTTTAAGAACAGATTTCTTTAGTAATGCCTTCACTACAAATTGAGGCATAGAATGTAGAAATCCTGTGCTAGTTTTCTCATGCTTCACATTTGTCCTGTGGATGAAAAAGCACAGAGCTCAAATTGATTTGTCAGTTTGGCCCATTTTCCAAAAGCAGTATTTTACTTTCCAAAACATAATTATATTGTTCATTTTATGATCCAGGCCATCTGCAAGCAGTTTGCTTTCGCATACGTTCTTCAAACAGGTGAGTTTACTGTATTTTGTTAAATGATGCAGCTATAACCCAAATAAGCCACAAAATATTGGAGTTGGATTACAAAATAATTAAGTTACCTGGAGCCAAAAAACATCCTGTAACAGCGTATCTGCTTCACTTTTTTTAAAACAAAATGGTACTGATAATAATATACAAAGTGTAAGAGTAATCCATTTCCCCTTTGATAAAGTGATTTAAGTCAGCTTAACTAACAAGTACGGTCAATTTTCTTAATTTAAAGCAGAACTAGAGATCTAATTAATTAGTTTTGAGAGACTAATTCAGCTTACTCTAAAGTGAGAGAAGCTAAACCCATCATCCTGTTATTTTCAATATTGTAACATGCCAAAATATGGCTCTCATTGCACGTGCTTTGAATGAAGTCTGATGCAAGGTTACGTAGACTTTTATGTGCAGCCCTGTTTTAACTTTTCTTTTTTTCTAGATAAAAGAGCAAACTCAGAATTCACTGCTGTCTCTATTACCACCTCCTGCTCAAAATAACAGATCGGAGTTCTTGGCACTGCCCTCAACAGCCATGGGGACTGAACTTGGACATATTACTGCAAATCAGGATGACACAGACTGGGAATTCTAAATAAGCACCAAACAATCGTACCTCTCCTGTGCTTCAAAGAAGGAAAATGTGACACGTATTTGCTGCTTTAGTTTGTATGGTTAAAATAGTCAGACAAGGTATACTTGAAAGTGCCATTGAAGTGGCCACGTTTCATTAACTACTTCCTCTGTTGGCATCATGAAGTGCAGCGTGCTTCACTTTCTGATCATAAAACTGTATGTAGGGAATGGCTGAATGCTTATCTGCCTCTTCCAAGATATTTCTTAAATGTTCCTACTGTAATCTTACTCTATACTCTGTTTTCAGCTTGTGTTGCTGCTGCCCACGTGCCTTTCTGAATTCAGGCTTGGGTGGTGTACCTTACTTCAACAATCTAGTTGTCTTTTCATTATCACCCATATTATTTTAGTAAGTAGAGGTCCTCCAAGTCTAAATTTGAAACTGCACAAATTAGTTGCTTACACAAATAAATGTTTTACTTTTCACACATCCCAAAAGGCATTTCCCACTTAACGTGCTGTCATACTTGCCAAAAGTTAGCTATGCATCATTTTTAAAGCAGGTTTAATACTGCATGTTTTCCAAAGAAGTTAAGCTACTTGAAAATATGACTCATGCTTTTGTCTACATTCTTAGTACAAATCTGTGCTTTTGCATCACCATTTATTGTGTAATTTTAGCAATTAATCTGAGGACCTCTTACTATGCAAAATAAGTCTCAAATTACAACAGGTACGGGTTAATTTTTAGGAATCATACTAAATAATCTAAAGTTACTGCACATATTTATACTGTATTCCTGTTCACCACCAGAACCTAATACTGTTCTCAGGAAAGAAAAGGCACCATGCATTGAGCTTCACTGACACTGCTGCTGGTAAGCAAGCCTCTTCTGCAAGCCCCAGATTCCCACGGATAGATTCAGCCGTAACAAGAACCTCATCAACCCCCTAGAATTCTACGATCCAATTTTAAGTCAGATGAAAACATGCCTTTCTTTCTCCCTACAATTCAGTAGGTTCTCCTCTCTAATACTGTACCAGGCAACTCAACCTGAACAAAAGCAGCTTCTTTTCAAAAAGCTGCATATTCTCATCATGTTTTAGAAGTTATATCCCAAAGCCACTAGTACTTTACCAATGTCAGTTCTGACTAGGAAAAATGTACAAATATACTTGATATTTTCAGCATAAACAGCATTCCACAGTAAGTATTCAAGTCTTCCACAGCTGAGCCAGTCTGCAACCAGCCTTGAGAATACGACTGTTTTGCCAGCAGCTTCATCACTCCAGAGCCTTGAGGACCAAGTGACCAAGATGTGAGCCTGAGACAGAGTTCAGTGTGGTTGTGTAGAATTTTATGTAGTAACAAAAAAGTTGATTCTACTCCTTATGCTGTGAAGAGAGCTCTATGTTTCAAAACCTAATACATGAAACTTAAGATTAAAAACTTTTCAATAAATTTACCCTATCTCTCTCAATTTATTTAATTCTTGTACCTAGTTTTTGCCACAGCCCAGTCATACTGACAGCTTCTTGTTACTGAAAGGAGTTTCACGTTCATGTCAGTAATTGGTTGTGACAAGGGGAGCGATTCTCCTGTTTCCTGGCTAGCCTGGCCCCTCAGCCGCCGCAGCACGCCCAGAGCGCTGTCTGCGTTCCCCGCTCCGCGGCCCCGCACACGGCTGC